AGAGAATCCAAGGAACACTAAAGAGCACAGAACATGTGTGTGTTAGAGAGAGAGGGAAGGAAATAGAGGATTAATGGGATACTGGAGCCATTATAAATAGAGCTCGGAAGCAGGAATTAATCTGACTAACAAAAGCTCTTATCCAGAGTTCTAAAATAAGCATCAGCTGCAGAGGACACAAGCAATAGAAAGCAAAGCAGCTTGTGGACAGCAGGGAGAGAGAAGTGCATGCTAATACCTGGAATAAATTTTGGCAAGCGCGAAGGCAGCAAGTGGTCCGTGACTGGTGGGGTGACAGTGCAGTAACAGATGAATGCAAGAACAGATGAACTGCATAGAGTTTTTATACTTTTATATTGCATACTCTGGGAGAAATTAAAGACCAAATTGATTCAATTAAGGTATCTCCCCACAAACAATTTAACTGCATTTTATTTTTCAACAAGCATATTCCACTATTACTGCTCTGTTTGTTAGCACTTTGTCAGGTATGTTTTTCATGCACCACATGTCAAAATAAAATTATATTCTTAAGAGCCATTTATGTGCTGCAGGGGAAATGACTACAATTAAAATTGTGGGACTGGTCATCATGCACAGAAAGACTTTTGTGATAAATTTTACCACAATTTTTATCATTGCTTCAGTATTATTTTGAATTTCCTTACATATCAACTTCTATTTAAAACTGTTTTGATTTGTAATCATACAATCTCCTAGCTGGTTTGCTCTGCTTGCCAAGCAAAGTGATTCTGTCCTAAGCGAGGACAGAAAACCATGTTGTTGTGAGAGCAAGGTGAAATGAGGGCCATGCCAAGCCTGGAAAGTAATCCTGGAAAGAGGAGACACCAAGCAAGCCAAGGAGAGGAAATCGGCAGCTGTCACTCGCCCTAGTGAGTCCAAGAAGGAAGAGAAGATGGAGTGGCCATGCAAGGAAGAAGTAGGCACCATCCTCCCATCAAATCTGTCCAGTCATATATGCACAGTCGTATTTATGCAAATCCAAGAGGCAGTCCCCCAGCCCCGTAGCCTGCCAAATCAGACCCCAGCTGCAGGCAACTGCGTAAAAAGCTGCATACCTGCTGTCCCTTTCATTCCTCTCCTCCCAACCACTGCAGACCCTGTGAAGAAGTCCCAGTAACGTGTCTGCTATGTCTCAGCCTGACTCCTCATTCTGCTGGCTCACCCCGTTCTTGGAGCCGGCGTTTTCTCCGATTATCCTCGTCAGGGCACTGCACGGCATTTCTGGGCCCTCCAGACACACAGCAGGCTAGGTAGACAGAGAAGTCCCAACGATTTCGTGGTGTTCATCATAAGACAGACAAGATTTCCATCCCAAGGTGAAGACATCACCATTGACAAGTTTCTGGTATCTCTCGGTCCCCTTATTTTCTTGTGGTCCTACTTGCTGCTCTTGATGGCTCCTGCTGAATAGTTGCTCTGTAGCAACATACTGCATGTAAAGGAGATGAACAGGTCCCAGAACTCCACTCCGTGGCATACCTGATGCTATAACCTCCTGTCCTCTGGCAGCATGTTTGTCAGACAGCTTCCTCCAAAACCAGGACTGGAGATACAATCATTTGTATTGCAGATAAAAAAACAATGTTCACTGTGAAAACAGTGCACCACTGAATTTTGTGATATGTAGAGTTTTGTATATGATAGTACAAGCTTCTGAAGAACACAGCCCTTATGCAGTGAAGTGCAGAAAAGTACTCAGCTAAATACCATGGAAACTCTATCTGCACCATTAGAGCTGCTGTAGTGCTTGCTTTCCATACTCAAGAGATCTCGACTCCGGCCCAGGGAAGACAGCTTAAGTGCATACATGACATAAACTGTGCTCAATAACAGCAGTAATACCTGGGCACTCTAAGAAGCAGAAGTGTCTGGACACAAGGCATGTTACTGCCATCACAGGACAAAATACTGGACATATCAAATTTCTCTAACAACAACTCCAAAGTCATTCATGTACTATCAGACAAATTACACCTACACTCTGCCCACAGTGGAAGCCAGCAACCAGAAGCAGGAATCGGAGAGCACAAGGCAATGCAGGTGCCACAAGCCACACTCCCTGGGAACCCCGCTCTGGCCAACAAGGACAGCTCAGTTGGCTCTGCCAAGCTGCCCAGCCAGTGGGGCTGCGAGTCCCAGACAGAGACAGCTCTTCCCAGGGCACACACCGAGTGTGCAAGGTGTCAGCTCCAGCCCAGTGTTTCCCCTTGCACAGAGAGCAGCATGCACAGATGCCTGTTGCATACCTGTGCACAGAGGCAGCACACATACACACAGACATGCAAGCCAGCAGCACCAGCAATGAGGCAGAGTTAGGGCTGCAGCACTCAGCTCTGTCTTGCACTCCTGACAGCTACTGCAGCCAAAAAAACACAGGGCCCTCTCAGCAGCCTTGCTGTCACAGAGCTACAGAAATGGAAACTTGTTTTCCTAATTCCAGCCCAAATTCCAAGCATGTTTCCAGCCACAAACCTGAGTATGAACAAGGGCATAATTTCAGGCCCCTCAAATTCCCTCTGCTGCCAAACAAAAGCTATACATGTGCGGTTTCCCCTCTGCAGCCAAGCCTCCATCTGTCTCCCAGCTCCACTGGTGCCTGGCTGTAGCCTGCCCACAAGAAGTGCTGATGCACAGCATCTTCAGCCCTTTCACTGTCAAACAAATGCTAAGGCCTTGGCAATGATGGAGAAACACAGATCCATCTTACCACCTCAGTTCAAGAATGATCTGGCAGACAGCAGTTATTTGTCCTGTAAATTACTTGGCCACCACCCATTCCTTGACAGGAAAGAGCAAATGGCCTTATTTCATCATCTGGTAGAAACTGTAGAGGTACAGTGAGCTTAAGTAACATGCCCAAGGCCAGTCAGCTGAGTCTGTGGTAGGATGAAGATCAAAACCCAGGACTTGCTGGCTTTTAGCCAGCATGCTCCAACCACCTTGCCTAGAACTTCCTTTGCTATGCAAGAGAGGCCAGAGCCCCAAGCCACATTTTATAGTGTTCTAACTTGTACTTTTGACAGTGTGAATGCAAAACCCAGCTACAGGCCCTGCATATACACACCTGTGTTCACAGCATTAGCTGTTTGTTCAAGCCTCTCCCTGTCCTGCTATGCCAGGACATAGCCAGCTTCCCTCACACACAGAGCTCAGTTTCTCTTCTTTTACACCCTAAGACAAAAGATGAGTAACCACCATTCCCCAAAAGCTGTCCCTTTCCATCACTCCCATCATTCCACTCCTCCCCACCTCTCTCCACAACCCAGCCAGAGCAAGGGTCCCACAATGCTGCATAACCTCATACTCACAGTGAACTTTGTTAGGAGTGGTCTGTTTCCGACGGGACATGTTTCCCTGACCTGGGAGCACAGAGTGTTCCTCCCCTCTGCAGAGGGCTCATCTGAGAAGAGAAGAGTCTGTCACACACTTCACTGAAACCCTCCAAGTCCCTGGACAAGCTCTGCTGGCTGTCCCAGGGTCATTCCCCACCCTTCTGCCTATGGGGCTCATTCTGCCCAGCCGGATTCCAGGCCAGCATCCAACACAATCCACAAGCATGTCACAAATCGTTGTGCATAGGCAGTCCTACCCAGTTCTCAGGTAAAGATCCTGATCCCCTCAAAAAATGAGTGTCCTCTTCAAAAATTACTGCAACCTCAGTCCAAACGCCCTTTTCTCTCCTGCCTATTCCTGCAACCTAATAATCATCCTTGTCGTTGAACTGACAGAGGAAGGTGGCATTTCCAACAGTCCTCTCAGAGAGACAGACAAAAGGAGGAGCTGAACCCATTTCCCACAAGACACATGGACACAGAGATCCTGTCAGCCTCCTTAGAGGGACAAACACACGGATTTCATCAGCTTCTCGCTGACAGAGAGACATGGACATCCCATCAGCTTTCTCAGACAGACAGACAAAAGGATCCTGCCAGCCTCGCACTGCCAGACAGACGCAGGGATACCATCAGCCTTCTCAGATAGATGGACACGAAGATCTCGGCAACCTCCCCAGACAGCGGAATCCAGCCGGCAGTCCCAGCACACGGGAGACGGCAGGAAGGACCTGGCCCGCAAGCGGCCGGACACACAGACAAAGGATGCGGCTCCTCTGGCAGCAGGACGGACGCGGGAACCCTGCCCAGGCCCCACGTCCGACCGGCAGCCCTGACAGACAGGCCGGCTCTGGCAGCGGAGGCCGCGCCGCGGGGCCCGTTCCACCCCTCGCGGGCGGCACCCGCCGCCCGGCCCGGCTCCCCGGTGCCGCCGCAGGCGCCGGGAGCCGCAGACAGACAAAGGGCAGCGGACAGACGGACGGGCAAGATGGCGGAGGGCACCGCCGGGCTGCGCGACGCGAGCGCGGGCACCGGAGGGCACGGCCCGTCCGCAGGCCTCAGCTGCCGGCTTTTCGCTACCTGAAGCGCCTCACCTGTCTGCCATGGATCCAGCCCAGCGCGCCACTCCCGACCGCCCGAGGGAGCTCATCCGTGCCTGCGACGGGGCTCGCCTGCCCCGGCCGCCCCCGCCGGCAGCTCGCCGAGCTCTCGTACCGCCCCGGCTCAGCAGAAGCTCGCGTACCCTGCAAGGCCAAAATGCACGGGTTTAGCGTTAACTTACACCCACCGCGCGCGTTATGAGCTCGCGCACCTGCTGAGGAGAACCGCCCCGCCCTGGGGGCTCGGGGCCGCCTCCCCTCACGGGCCACCGAGCGCCGCGCGGGATCAGCGGGCCCGCTCGGAACGCGCTCTAGGCCCCCTTACCCGGCGGCTGCGGCACCGGGCTCAGGCCCTTGCTGGACTTCGGTCCGACTCTCCTTCACAGCGGCGCCAGCGCCGTGCGGCCCTCAGAGAGCCGAGGACCCCGCGGCCAGGGCACAGCACCCGGCGGAACGCCGCGTTGCCGGAACCGCCGCGCCGGGGGCGGGCACCGGCGGGCGCCTATCAGGCGTGGCACCAGGTAGACGCGCGCAGGGTCCCTCCGCCGGGCCATGTAGTCCCTCTGCTCCGCTCTCCCAGACCGTGCCCCTCTCTCCCCGGCCGTCGTTGCTCCAGGACGGTATTTGCGGAAGCGGGCCGGGACAGCGCCCGCTGCGCCAGCTCGACTGAGCCCCGGCCTGGATGCGGGCAGTGCCGGGGACTGGGTACGGAGAGTGCCGGCTGTGAGGATCACTCCGCAGGCCATGAAGGCTTGCGGCCGCCGCGCGCCATTTTGGGTGACGGACCTGCGGAGCGGCGGGTGGTGAGTTGGGCCGTAGGAGGGCGAGCAGGGCCGTGGGGAGCGCTCGGCGTCCGAGAAGGTGACGGGGAGCCTTGCCTCAGGGTCTCCCGCAGCCCTGGGACTCGCCCCTGGGACCTGCTCCGCTCGTGCTGTGGGATGTTCTCTCGGTACCACCTACCTGGGGAGGGAGAGGGATTTCTCCTCTCAGCCCTCAGGTGCAGCTGCGCCGGTGGAGCTCATGCAGGGCCTCCTGCCCACTGTCCGAACTGTCCCTAGGCATTAGGCCAGAAGCGGCGAGTCTCGCCGAGCGGCTGCTGTAGCTGGCGGCCGTCCCGGCAGCCGGATCAGGCTCGCTCCGCTCTGGGCGGTGGAGCCGCCGGCAGAGAGGGATGGGGAGGTGAGATCCAAACCGAGGTCTTTCTATGTGCTATCTTTTAAGGAAGCTTTTCGTTGATGAACGGTTTTCCTTCATGAACAGTTTTTGGCAAACAGAATGCGATAATTAAAATACTGTTAGAATTTGCTTTCTGTAGGGTTAATAAGTTGAACTGGTTCCTGGGAGACTAAGCATGTCTTCAGTAGGCAGGGAGAGTGTGGGGAATGTGAAACGGCAACTTTTTCCTTCTGATGACGAGATCCTTACAACCTTAGTTTCTAACTAAGTCCTCTAGTTAATTATATAGCTGGTTTATGACGTGTATTTCGATAGGACAGAGATGGGCTGGGCTCTTCAGTTGACTTTTCCATTTTTAAAAAAATGTCCAATAAGGTTTCTTGAAGTTCTAAGGCCAGTCCAATTGGTCTTGGTAAGGTGCAGGGTTATGAAGTGGGAAAGGTAATAATAAGTGCTCGAGGTTCAGTCACTTATAAATAGATTCGGGATTGGCAGACCAGGGCTTGTTTGTATGAGGAATTTCTTGGCCCCCCCCCGCCCAGTAAAACAGTGTCGGGTGTGCTGACTGGCAGTTGTTGGTTCCAGTGACCATCCCTCTTCTCCACAGAAAGGGTGTATCATGTTGGGCTCTGGGTTCAAGGCGGAGCGCTTGCGAGTCAACCTGCGCCTCGTCATCAATCGCCTCAAGCTACTGGAGAAAAAAAAGAGTGAGTATTAAGGGGGCAGGGGGGACCCAGGATGCTTTTGGAGCTCAGGAGACTTGAGAAAGTCGGGGTACTTTCATGGGCCAAGTGTGGAGTGGCTTTTTGCTCTTCCTTGCTGGACCCAGGCCTTGCAACCTGCCCTGGTGCACAAGGAGCTGGAAGAGCAGGCTGGCCACAGTGTGGCCTCTGTCCACCTTCCTGGCAGCTGTTGCAGTGCATTTTGTGGGGTGGTAACTAACAGCTAACATGTGTGGGCTGTGTGTGCTAACAGCACAGTGGAGAACTCCCTGGGTGCTGTGGGAGATCCTCCCCACCTGCCCTGCCCTGACACAGGGAGGTTGTAGGCACAGGAGTGTTTCCAGCAGCCTAAAGTGCACTTCCTTTCTCCCATAAGTTATGGACCTGGACATGAGGGCTCTGCCAAGCCATGCCCGAGTGTCTCATGCTGCAGAGGTTAGGGGAGAGAAGCTGCTGGTGGCTTTATGTGTGATGGGGACATGTGGGTGGTCTGGAGGCAGCAGCCCAGGCCAGCACAGTGACCAGGCTTGGGATGTGTGCTGCAGCTGAGCTGGCCCAGAAGGCAAGGAAGGAGATTGCAGATTACCTGGCAGCTGGAAAAGATGAGCGTGCCAGGATTCGTGTGGAGCACATCATCCGTGAAGATTACCTTGTGGAGGCCATGGAGATCCTGGAGCTGTACTGTGATCTGCTGCTCGCCCGCTTTGGCTTGATCCAGTCCATGAAGTAAGCTCTGGCTGAGAGGGTTCTGCACTCAGGAAAGGGCACTGCTGGGGACAGGTCTGGGGTTCAGAAGGGCACCCGTGTTTGTCTCTCCAGAGACCTTTTCCTCCCCATGTATGGGGGACTGTGGAGCCCAGTGCATAGGATGGGAACTTAAAGGCTAAGCAGATTGATGGCAGCAAAGGCTGGGTGTGTGGGGTGGAGAGAGAATTGTTTTCTTTGGTCGTAGGGAGCTGGATTCTGGCCTGGCAGAGGCAGTATCGACACTGATTTGGGCTGCTCCACGCCTCCAGTCAGAAGTGGCAGAGTTGAAGATTGTGAGTAGGGTTGCTTGAGGGATGCTGCACATGCAGGGTGGGGGTGATGCTGCCAGATGCTGATGGAAGCCTTTGTTTGGGACTTTTTATCATTAAAACAGAGGATTTTATGGGCTCTGCAGATGGACACCAGATGTCCTTGGAGTATCTGGCGTGGCTGCAGCTGCCGAACGGGGGTGCTCTGTGGGAAAAATGAGGGAGGGAGCTGAATGGATATGTGGTTTGAGGTGGGAGAAAGCAGGAATGTGCATGTTCTAGAGGTTATCTCCTGCTGCAGGTTGCTGATCAGTTGTGTGCTAAGTACAGCAAGGAGTATGGGAAGCTGTGCCGGACAAACCAGATTGGGACAGTCAATGACAGGGTAAGGAACTGGTAGAACAGGCAGAGCTGGCAGAGCAGCCACACCTGCCAAGGCTTGCTGCCCCTTGGGCCCCTGGCTAGTGGCTGATGCTTGCAGTCACTCTGGAGCACAGCAGGTGCTGTGCAGCCAGGGCCTGCCTGTGCTGGAGCATGGTGCTGAGGCCCCAGGCAGGGAGGCTCTGCTCTGCTGGTTGTGGATGGGGAAGGGTAGAGAAAACAGAGTCCTGGCCTATGGCTGCCTGCAGCATGTTGTACTGGGTGGAGGGGCCTCCCCAGGGCTGCCTGCTGCTCCCTGGCTGGGATGGCACTGGTACAGAGCTGTTGGGTGTTGCATTGCCCTGGCCCTACTAAGTCTCTCCACCCTTGTGTTCCAGCTGATGCACAAACTGAGCGTGGAAGCACCACCCAAGATCCTGGTGGAGAGATACCTCATTGAGATTGCAAAAAACTACAATGTGCCCTATGAGCCTGACTCAGTGGTGATGGTGAGTGAGCCCCAGGATGTGGCACTGCAGTGAACTGGGTAGTCCTTGTGCTTTGGTGTCTTCTAGACAGCCCTAGCATAGCATGATCCTTCTTCCTCTATGCACTCCTATGGCATGTGGCAGTAGTTACATATGCTACAGCCCGGTTCCCGTTCTGTTTCCCGTTAGTACCACTGTGTAGCTGCTCTCTGTTCTGCTGTTGTGTATTCCCATCTTCTCCATTGACAAATGGTGCGTCTAATGTGTACAGAGGGCAGTGATCATAAGAGATGTGTTGGTGAGCAGAATTCTTCCACGCTTTCCAGGCTGAAGCCCCAGCGGGTGGAGAGGCAGATCTCATTGATGTGGGCTTCACGGATGATGTGAAGAAGGGTGGCCATGGAGCGGGCGGAGGTGGTGGATTTACAGCCCCAATGATAGGTCATGATGGGTTGGTACCCATGCCTGTGATGATGCCTATGCCCATGCCAACAACAAATCCACCCTTCTCCTATCCACCTCCTAAAGGACCGGTGAGTTCCTGGGCTTTGTGTGTTTTCCTTTTTCTGTGAAAGACTCCTGTTGTGGTGCTTAGCTCTATGCCTGCTGACTGTACCTGGTAGCTCAGTGTGTCAGAAGGCCATCTTCTCAGTGTGAGAATGCATGGGATGGAGGCTGTTGGCAGTGCAGCTGAAGCTTAATGTTGCATCTTGACTGTGGACGTGCCTGTTCTCCAGCCAGCCCTCTTTGCCTTCAGGGAACAGAGGAGTCCAGACTTAACTCCTGAGGCAGTCTTCTGACTGCCAGGCTTTTGTCCAGGAGTTGGAGCTGCACTTTGAAGTTGGTAGGCTGGTAGTGTGCCAGGATTCAGTCAAGGAAATCAGGTGAGTGTTGTGGGGTAGGAATAGCACAGAAAAATGTGGAAGAGCCCTTGCATTCAGACCTGCAAGGGGAGAAGACTGAGCCAATGGCTCTTGCAGATGATTTGTTGTAAGGGTGGAAGGTGGGAGCTGAAAAGAACTCCTCCGATCTCTGAGTTAAGTAATTTACAGGATATCTGTGTAGACTGGAGAGCAGAATAGTGGGATGGCTTTGAGTCTTAATATGGTGCCAGCAGTGGTGAAGTACTTTTTGTGGAAAATCTGGGCCAAGTATCATCAGCTGGCAGTTGGCCCAGGCATAAACATGCTGAGGGCTTGTGCCAGGTCTGGGTCCTTGAGGCGCTGTTGTGTGACAAATGAGGACAACTCAAAGCCTTGTGTGAGCCAGAAACCTCTTTCCTATTCTGCAGTTCTACTCACAGGACCAGAAATGGCAGAATATTTCCTTTATTGGCTTGGTACTTCTTGTGCCTTGAAAGATGAAATGTTTACCTGTGCTGGTTCTTTAGAATAACCCACAGTCCAGTTAGCTGACTGCTAGTTAGTCTGCCTGCTCCAGGTGACTACATCTGTCTTAATACTTGAGAATCTCTTCCTTGTAAGCATAAACTCTTACCCACTTGAATACTTGCCTGCATTTATCTAAGACTCTACTTCCTGTGACTCCCATGGCAGCTGTAGACGTGTGGTGTCTGAGATGAGTAGTCTGCTGCATGACTGATCTCTCTGTACAGGAGAACTTCAGTGGCCTGCCAGTGGGGACCTACCAGCCTTTCACTAATATCCACCCACCACCAATTCCGGCAAACCCACCCACATATGAGTCCGTAAGTGCCTGAGATGCATGGCCATTGCAGTCAGCAGAAGGATCCTCAGAGTGCAGTGGTAGCCACAGAGAAGGGAAATGTTTGTAAAGGATACTGCTGCTAACTTCTTGAGCTTTTGGGGTGGTGCTGGCAATGCTTGCTACTGTAGTGAATCACAGTGCACATGACTGAAGGATGACTTGTGGAGTGAAGTTCCTCATTCAACTCAGTGCTTTGGCTGCAAAGGAAAGCCAAGATTTCTCTTGCTCTATTGTTAAAGTGGTGTTAAACAGTTAATGAGCAGAATCCACAAGTTCTGGTTTTTGCAGTGTGAAGGGTTTATCACCCTGAGTCTGTTTAATTATGGGTTTTGAACTAATTAACAGCCTGGATGAGAATTTTGGCTGACCCAGATGCTGTATGTTTAAAGACTCTTCCTTTCACAGACTTTCCTCAGTCCTTAGGGACAACAAAGCAGAGGCTGGAGACTTCCCTTTCTATGCTTGTCTCTGGTTTTGTTGCTGCAGTTTGTCATCATGCCTGCCACTCTGCTTATGGTGACATGCTGTTTGTTTTTGCATCCTGAGTAGGGAGGAGCACAGTTGAGCATTGTGGGTGCTGACGCTTTTGTGTTCTCACAGGTGCAGCAGTGCAGGTGAACTGGGTAGGAATGGGTGTTGAGGGCTGCAGCATGCAGGGAATAAGAAGTTTTACTAGCAGAGCTGAGTGTGCTATGAGCCTTTTTCCCAGACATGCCCAGACCTGAGATGGGTCATTTCATACCCTGCTGCTAGTCACAAGGGCCTGTCAGTGGTTTATGGAGAAAGGCAGCAAGGAGCTATGATGACACACATGAAGGGGCCGGTGTTTTCCCACTGGTTACCTTGATAAATCTTTCTGATCTGATAGTGGATGTGCTTGATTGATCCAGTTCCAGAATATGGTCCATGAAGCTACTTTAGTTGACAAGGAGGGAGAGAAAAGCTGAAGAGCTGCCTCTGTTTCTTGGGAAGAGAGGCAAGTTGTTGCAAAGCCATGGCTGCCTGCTAGGGGTGGGGAGGAGCATGCACTGATCTGCCAGAGCTGTGCCTCTGAGCTCTGCCTGTGTGCTGGTGTGACTGTGCCTGGAGGGACAGAGCTGTAGTAACTGAGAGTGTTTTTCAGATTGATGAGCCTAGCACTGACAAGGATGCTGCTGCACTAGTGCCTGGTGAGTATGTTGAGGTTTGGAAAACCCTTGGGTATTAGGGGCTGTTGAGAAGAAGCCCCTGGTACTGCCTCTTCCTGGAATGACTGTTCCTTTGTGGGGCTCCGTTTGGCCCGGCAAGCATGTGCTGATGGTGAGGTGCAGTGATACTTCTCTTGTAAACAGGGCCTGAGCCCAAGCCAGAAGCTTCTCCTAAACCAAGAGCTGGAGCTCCTAATACCTTTGATAACTTTGTACTGCCCGAGTTGCCGTCTGTGCCAGACACACTGCCAACAGCATCTGCTGGCGCCAACTCTTCTGCCTCAGAAGACATTGACTTCGATGATCTTTCACGGAGATTTGAGGAGCTGAAGAAGAAAACTTAAAACTTCCTGGGCTGCAGGAAGGAGGGGAAGGAGCTGTGATACCTCTCTGAAACAGACTCCCTTTGAAATTGGTTTCCTGTATTAACCTCCAATGAACATGCTCTTCTTTTTGAGCTCTCTTCCTGCTGTACTTACATCAAGTGCTGCCACTTTCCTGATCTTTGCTGCTCCAAGAGATGAACTGTGGGGAATGTTGTGAGAGCGAGGCAAGAAAGAACCCCTGTCAGTGTGGGTAGCTGTATGGGGGAGCTGCGCGTGATGGGGAAGACGTGCATGATGTTCCTGGCTGCCTCCATGATGGCTCCATGCCTGCCAGCAGAGGCTTTCTCTTGGGGAGCCTTCACTGGCCTTCATGGTGTTCTCAGTGGAGTCTGTTGGCAGTTTGCAGAAGGGTAACAATGTGTGCCTGGGCCCTCTGGGTGTGCGACTAGCCCCGCAGAGGGCAGAGCCAGACAGGCTCTGCTGCTGCCTCGGGGTTTTGGTGCGGCAGCTTTCCTCCCGGGCGCTGAGCGCCTGTGGCCCATCGAGGTCTGGGGCTGAGGCTTGGAGGGTGCTCTGATGGGATCTGCCGCAGCACCTTCTTCGCCCTCCCCGAGTCGCGGGCGAGGCATCCCGGGAGTGTAGCGTACGTGTTGGTGACCCTGCAGCTCTGCCGTGATGTCCGTGCCGCTGCCCGCGGCCGTGCCCTGCTCCCGTGCCCCGCTCCCGTCCCGTCCCGTGCGCTGCCGGGCTCCGCCGCCGCGCTCCTTCAATAAAGCGCGGGCCGCGCCTCTCGCCGCCGCCTCTGCTGCGCCGCTATTGGCTGGGAGGGTACGCTCTCCGCCAATCACGGGGGAGGGGCGGTCCCCGGGAGTGTCCTCGCTGTTGGGCTGAGCGTGATGGCGGCGCCGCTGCGCGTGAGCGGCCGGGGGCCCTGGGGACATCGTGGGTGGCCGAGCCGCCCCGGGGGGCCGCTGATGGGACCCCGGGGACAGCTGGCCCTCGCCGTGCGGCCGGGGCGGGCAGGGCCGGGCGGGACGGGGGGTGTGGGGTCGGGGCCGGCGGGCTGTGTGAGGAGGGGACGGGGTGAGTGCGGTTGCCGGTGGGGAGTCGTTGCTGGTGCGCTGCTGACGGCCTGGCACAGGGACGGCTGCTGGCGCTGGGAGGCTGCGCGCTGCTCCTGGGATCGGCGCTGGCGGCAGGCGACGAGCGGCTCTACGCGGCGGCGGTGATGCCCGCGCTGCGGGCGCTGCCTCCCGAGGCCGCCCACGGCCTGGCTTTACGCGCCGCCGCCCTCGGGCTGCTGCCCTCCGCCCGTCCCGACGGCCCCGCGCTGGTGCGTCTCGAGGGCGGGGGCGGAGGGGCGAACCGCGGCGGGAGCGGGGCGGGGAGGTGGGAAGGGCGGTCAGAACAGGGCTAGGGGGTGGGCGGCAGAGCCCCGCGTGGTGCGCCGGCGGCTTGGGTCTCGTCGCTGCCCGTGGCGGGCGACAAGGGACCCTCGGGCAGCCACCCCATAAAGACACCCCAAAGGGCAGGGGAGGCAGAGAGGGGGGTCGGGAAGGGGGCTGGAGTGAGGCCTTAGCAATGTTCCTGGAGTCTGCGGGCTCTGACCCAGCCCCAGCCCCGCAGGAAGTGCGAGTCCTCGGGCAGCGATTCCGCAACCCATTGGGCCTGGCTGCTGGCTTCGACAAGCAGTGTGAGGCTGTGGACGGGCTGTACAAGATGGGCTTTGGCTTTGTGGAAGTGGGGACTGTCACACCCAAGCCCCAGGAAGGGAACCCCAAGCCCAGGGTCTTCCGGCTGGCAGAGGACGAGGCGGTCATCAACAGGTGGGATCTGAGAGCAGCTGCTCTGCAATGTCCTACAGTCTGCCCACCGTGAGGGAGGGTGAATATTTGGGTGGCCCCACGTCTTTGGAGCTGTGGTGACTTTTGGTTGGATGTTCTGAGCAAAGCTGCAGAGACCACACATCTGCTTTCTGTTTCTCACGTCCTGTTCAGAGCTTGCAGACATAACCCAGCCTTGAACCCCCTCTGTCCTGGTGCAGGTATGGATTCAACAGCCACGGCCATGTCGCGGTGGAGCGCAGGCTGCGAGCCCGCCAGGAGAAACAGATCAGGCTCACTGGTGGTGAGACACGCTTGTAAGCCTTTGCTCTTGGGGTCTGCAGGGTAGGTTTGGGCATCTCCCAGGTGCCTGTAGGCCAGGATTGGTGTGTAATGCCAGTATCCAGGCACAGGAGCACCTTGGCTGGAGCAAGGAACACTTGGACAGCAAGACTCTTGGGGCTGTAGTCTCATCCCTGGCATTGTGACTAGGCACATTTCTCCTGTTGTTTTCTCTGCAGTCAAGCTTCACGTGCTGCTTTGGGCAGGATGTGTCTGCTAACATAGCCAAAGCCAAGAGAACCCCAGCTGAGCAGATCCTGAGGGCAACCTCTGCCAGGCCGAAGGCTGTGGTGCTGGGAGGTGCTGCCTGGGGTGGCTGTGGCCATGCTCCTGTGCTTGCAGGACAGTCCCAGGCCCATCCTCGTGAAATACATGGGCTATATATCCTCAACTTCAGCTGGTCCTGGGACCTAATTTTTTGGGTGCTCTGGCCATTGGGTGGTGGTTGGTCCTGCTGCCCTGGTTCAACTGTGTCTGGGTTCCAGCTGGGATGCCTCTTGGAGTCAACCTGGGCAAGAACAAGAGCTCTACTGATGCTGCAGCTGACTATGTGGCTGGGGTCCGGACACTGGGCCCTTTGGCTGACTACCTTGTTGTGAACGTGTCCAGCCCAAACACCCCAGGGCTGCGGGACCTGCAGGGCAAGGCTGAGCTGCGGGACGTGCTAAGCAAGGTAGGTGCCTCCCCCCAGCCAGCCCAAAGCACAGCTAGAGCACTGGCTGCAGCCCATCTCCTGGCACTATCTCCACTGCTGCAGCCAGTGCATTTGCCCAAGCACAGGGAGGAAAGGGGGTGGCTTTCCAGCATGGTGGGCAGGAACACTGAGATGTCCCTGTTAGCTGCTGCCATGGGGTGTACTAGGGCACTGTATCCCAGCAAAGGGCTCAGGAGCAGTGAGGCGTTGCCCTCTACTTGCTCCTGCAAGAGGCAGCAAGCCATCCACCCAACAACTTCAGGCATCACTTGGGGTCCTGTGCCTGCTGTGTGCTCCAGGCCCTGTGCCAAGGGTGCCTTTCCTGTTTTGGGTGCCATGTGGAGGAGCAGGGCCTGTCCCTGTACTGGCTGTGGTAGTGGGTGTCCGTAGCTCCTAGTTGGGGCAGGAGGCCTCTCCCTGCCTTGCACTGCCATGTGCACCAACAGGTGCTGGTGGAGAGGGACCTGCTGCCCTGCAAGCGTAAGCCAGCCGTGCTGGTGAAGATTGCCCCTGACCTCACTGCACAGGACAAGCAGGACATCGCCAGCGTTGTCTGTGAGGTGAGGAAGTAGGAAGGGGAGGCAGGAGGCATGGTGGTCCTGGCAAGTCACCTCTCAGAAGGACACATATGCCTGCAGCTCTCTGGCTGCTGTAGGGATGGTGTCCTGGGTTGGTCAGTCTGTGAGGGCCCACGTGTGTCACCCAGGCTTTGGCTCACGCAGGCAGTGAGGGCCAGCTTTGTCCCCAGGCACGCTTTGTGTTATGTGCTGGGTGGTCCTGGACTGGCAGGAGGGGAAGGGAAGGTTGGGCTGCTTGTGGAAGCTGTGTCCTCACACTACTGCCCCTGCAGCTAGGTGTGGATGGGCTGATAGTGAGCAACACCACCGTGAGCCGGCCCAGCAGCCTCCGGAGCAGGCAGCGCACGGAGCCTGGGGGCCTCAGTGGGAAGCCCCTGCGGGAGCTCTCCACACAGGCCATCAGGGAGATGTACGCTCTCACTCAAGGTGATGGCAGAACAGGGCTTGGGGGCGCATGCCAGCACTGCCTGTGCCATCCTGACCCTGCGCCCTGCCCGCAGGCCGGGTGCCCATTATCGGCGTGGGTGGGGTGAGCAGTGGGCAGGATGCCCTGGAGAAGATCCGTGCCGGAGCCTCACTCGTGCAGCTGTACACAGCACTTGTGTACCACGGGCCACCAGTGGTGGGGGCAGTGAAGCGGGAACTGGAGGAGCTGCTGAGGTAAGTGGAGGCCAGGCACGTCCCCAGAGAGCCCCTAGGACAGCTGTGTGCTGGTGCCCAAGCAGTGCCAGCCCAGTCCTAGCACACACTGTCCCTGGTTAGGGAGCAGGGCTTCAAGAACGTCATGGAGGCAGTTGGGGCAGATCACCGCTGCTGACATACTGCAGAACGAAGGTCTAGCTGGGAGGAGCCATGGCAGAGCAGGGATGGGTGTGACAATTCCAGGGCTGGGCAGACTGGGACTGAGATGAGGTCCTGGTTCCAGCCCCTGGGAAGAGTCTGATGGGTGAAGCAGGGGACAGGGCCTTTATGACAGTGCTGCTTTTTCGGGGCTGTGTTTTGGCTTCTGTGTTGTGGACAGCAGAACTGAGTGTCAATAAACATTTGGCTCACCTGGTCCTGTGTACTGCTCTGGGGACACCCCAGGGGCTGGAGGGATGCAGCTTAGCTCTCCTCAGCTGAGCAGAATCAGCTCTCCACGTTGCTCTCACTCTTCCTGGTGGGAGAAGCCCCCAGGGTTGCTGAGCTCTGGAATGGACTGACAAGTGCATCAGGCCTCCCCTGACAGAGACTTCTGCCTGAGGCCAGACTCTTGGACGGGAGGGAAGGCAGTGATGGTGCTGGGTGCCAGTACCCAGCTGTTTTGGAGATGGCTGCAGTCATGCCTTGTCACTTGTGGAAAGGGCCTGATCAAAGGTGCTTCTGTCTGTTGGTTTTGTCTCTGGTGCTGACTTTTCCTTCACCCCAAACTCACTGCAGTCATCTCGGGCTTTTCCTGAGCAACAGCTCACCCTGCACAAAGCATTCCCTCAGCAGCCTCTCGCAATCCACCCTGCAGAGCAAGATTGCACAACACCGCTTCACCAAAATCGTTTACAACTGCTGGGAAACTCTCGGCACGCTGACTTCCTGTCAGGGCTTGGCAGCTTCCTGGGAGCTTCTGCCAGGCTGGTGCTAAGCAAGGCGGGGCTTTTTGTGCTCTTCCTGCTGGGAATTGTGCTGGCTGCAGGCACCAGGATCAGGAGATCTGGAGCAGCAGGGTCCAGGTCTGACTCATGGCTGTCTGGTGGGCAGCCCCGGGGCATGGAGCTGCCCCTGTGGACCTGGCCTTGCAGAAGCAGAAGGACTGGCCCAGAAGGACTATGTACACCTGGGCCAGGTGGGCTACATCAGTCTGGGGCTGCAGTGCCACCTTTGGCTTCCCTGCCATGCTGAAGTACGTGACACTGCCAGAGGCTGAGAGCGAGCAGTGCCAGGAACGCCACAGCGCACGGAACGTGTCCCACAGGGCCTGCCCCTCCTCGGCAACGGCACCTTCTGCGTGGGCACGAGTGGGCTGCAGGCGGAGCCTTTGCCGGGCAGCATCCCAGTGAGGACGCCTGCTACCAGCTGGCACCGTCAGCTACGACAGCGCCTGCAAAGAACGGCATGGACGCGGAGCGTGTCCTGGCCTGGGTGAAGGAGATGGCGGCAGCTGCCTGAGGCAAGGCCGCGAGCGAATAAAACTGTTGGGCAGCAGGATGCAAGCTCTGTGCACGTTTCCCCGTCCGTGCAGGCTCTCTGCGCCCGGCGCCGTCCCGCTGTCCCTGTCCCGCTGTCTGTCCCGCTGTCCCGCTGTCTCTGTCCCGCTGTCTGTCCCGCTGTCCCGCTGTCTCTGTCCCGCTGTCTGTCCCGCTGTCCCGCTGTCTCTGTCCCGCTGTCTGTCCCGCTGTCCCTGTCCCGCTGTCCCTGTCCCGCTGTCCCGCTGTCTGTCCCGCTGTCTCTGTCCCGCTGTCCCCGCGGGTCCCATCCGCCCGGGACTCCGCCCCACGCCCACGTGACCATGGGGAGGTGGCGTCCGCCGGAAGTCCGCCCCGGCAGGGAGCGCGGCCTATCTGGCGACGTTGGGACTCTATGGTGGCGGCTCTCCCATAGGCTCTGGCCACCGTGTCTATGGTGCGCTTGGCTAGAGCGGCTCCTCCCGCCGAGCACTGTGGGGCGGCTATGGCGGCGCTCCGGGAGCCGGGTTACGCTCGTTGAGGGACCGGCGGGGCTCTTGCAGCGCTGCGGCCGCGATGGAGGCGAGCGAGGAGTCCCTGCACCGGCTGTCGGGGACAGCCGCGAGCGGCGAGGCGGGCGGGCTGCTCCTGCGGGCGCGGGGCGCCGAGCAGCACGTCTTTAAGGCACCCGCCCCGCGCGTCTCCCTGCTGGGACTGGACGTGCTGGCGGCGCAGAAGCGGCGGGAGCGCCAGGAGGAGGCGGCCGGGGGGAAGCGATCCCGTGTCGCATCCTATAAGGACTGGGAAGAGGCTCATGAGGAGGCGGGCAGCGCCGAGGAAGAGGAAGAGGACGAGGCCAACCGGAGCAGCCGCAGAGCTCGCAGGAACAGGTGGCGCTTGCGGGGCGCTCCCGGTGCCGGCGCTGAGGGAGCGCAGGGTGGGCGCAGGCGGTGACCGGCGGGGCTGCGGGGGCTGCGGGGCCTTGTGGCACAGGCTAACACCGCGGCTGTTGCTCTGCACTTCTGAGCGTTTCTCCTCTGCTCTGCCTGTCCAGACATTACCGCTCTGTGCACGTGGAGACGCCTTCCTACACAGGGGGTGTAAGCGAGGAGTTTTTGGAACGCAGCCGGCAGCGGGAGAGGGAGCGTCGGGAACACGGAGTCTTTGCCTCCTCCAAGGAGGAGAAGGACCGGAAGAAGGAACGCAATAGGGATCGGGACCACGATCGAAAACGAGACCGTGGTAATTGCTCAGACATCTTTGTGGTGCTTCTTGGTTCGGGTCTGGGCTTGTCCTTTGCCCTGTTTGTAGTCTTTACTAATGTTTGTGGTGATTTTTATAGCAGACTTGGGAAGCCTGTTTGTGCAATAGGCACGTGATGCTATTTTGTTTTTGCAGAGGAGCGGGACAGGAGTCATCACAGCAGATCAGAGAGGGATGGCTCATCAGAGCGGAGTGGCAGGAGGGGTGAACCTGAGAGCCCTCGACATCGGCCCAAAGGTGGGAGTGGGACCCGCTGAAGCTCGTGTGAGACCTAACAGGGAGAGGCTTGGATTTTTTTATGCCTCCTGCTGTTTTTGCAGGACAGGGGTGGTACAAAAGTTCGTACCTTGTGATGTTTGTGGTTAAGGCAAGCATAAAACTCCCAGCTCAACTTGCATCTGGGAGCAACGTGCCAGCTGTGCACGTTTGAAACTCTGGCAGATCTCGGCACGGTGGGGTCTGTTCTGGGCCTGTGTGATAGAAATATGATCTTTTGAAATTCCTTGGAATCAGTAGGTCAGCCCCTTCTCCTAGAGAGAAGGCCAGTGGGTACTCTCTCTCCATGCTCCTTTCTTAAAAGATGTTAGGTCCAGGTGCCCAGGGCTGCTGCTTGAACAACAGCTGTCAAACCCCATCTCTTCTACCAGATGCAGCCACACCGTCTCGCTCCAGCTGGGAGGAAGATGATGGTGGCTACAGCAGTGCCCATCGCTCCCAGTGGGAGTCTCCGTCTCCCACGCCTTCCTACAGAGACTCGGAGCGCAGCCACCGGCCGTCATCGCTGCGGGACACGGAGCGGCGCGAGCGGGACAGGTACCAGCGCCCGAGGCTGTGCCGTGAGCTGTGGAGCTGCGAAGGGTCTGGCTGTGGGTGCCAGTTCCCCCCATCTGCTGCGTTTCCAGGTCTGTGAGGAGCCGCTACTCTGATAAGACGCCGCTGCCGACCCCATCGTACAAGTACAATGAATGGGCCGATGACCGGAGGCACCTGGGAGCCACGCCACGCCTGTCCCGAGGGAGAGGTGAGGAATCTGGGCTGAGCTGCCCGGGGTGGGCAGTGTGGAATACCCTTTCCTGTGGCACAGAGTTGGGGTTTCCCTGGGAACGTTCTGGACTCTCTGGCTCACCCCAGGGCGGCGCACGGAAGGGGAGGAGGGCATCGCCTTTGAGACGGAAGAGGAGCGGCAGCAGTGGGAGGATGACCAGCGGGTGAGTCTGGGACGGCCGGGGGCTGGGGCCACCCGCCTCTGGGTGGGCATGGGCAGAACTCAGTGCTGCGCCTCTCCCTTCCCAGCAAGCTGACCGGGACTGGTACATGATGGATGAGGGCTACGATGAGTTTCACAACCCTTTGGCTTACTCCTCTGAGGAATATGTGAAGAAGCGTGAGCAGCACTTGCACAAGCAGAGGCAGAAACGGATCTCGGCACAGCGGCGGCAGATCAATGAGGTAAGGCCAAGATGCAGGGGTGGCTGCTCTGAACACATGGGGTTTGCTGCCTCTTAAGAGATCCACTTGTTGAGCCCTTGCTCTCGGGCGGAGCAGGACACTCTTGGGCCAGGCTGAAGGAGTGCTCACAGGGAAACTGGTTGAGTTCCCCTGGAAAACCCAGCACTGCAACTCCTGCATGGGCAGAATTTCCAGTTGGAATGGCTGGTGGATTGCAGTGTCCAGGGCAGCAGAGGACCACGCTCCTGCTGTTCTAAGTGCGAGGTACATTACTGGGGCTGTCTGCTGTTGGCCCAGTGGATGCTGGGACAGCTGCTCTCTTTACATGAGCAGGATTGTGTCCAGGCTTCCTGATGTATTCTGGCTGCCTTGCAGGCAATGTCTACCCTGCATTTCCTTGGAAATAGTCCTGTTGAACATGCGCTTCATGTGGGCAGTTTCCTGTGCTCTACTGCTTCCAATTACTGTTCCTTCCCTTGTGCTTCCTTTCAGGCTCACTAGGTTTGAACCATCCTGTTGCCAGTGCAGAGCCCAGGCCCAAGCTTGGTGTCCTAGTGTGATCTCTGTGACTTTCTGTGAGGCTTCATTGTGTTTCTGATACGTTGTTTCCTGCAGGATAATGAGCGCTGGGAGACAAATCGCATGCTGACCAGTGGTGTGGTCCATCGGATTGAGGTGGACGAAGATTTTGAGGAGGATAACTCTGCTAAAGTGCATCTGTTGGTGCACAATCTAGTGCCTCCTTTCTTAGATGGAAGGATTGTCTTCACCAAGCAGGTAGAGACTGTGGCTGAAGGCACTGATAGCAGGGAGCTCCATACACGTGAGGCATTTTTAGTAAAGCAGTGCCTTTTCCCTGCAGCCAGAGCCAGTCATCCCTGTGAAGGATGCCACCTCGGATTTGGCCATCATAGCTCGGAAAGGCAGCCAGCTGGTGCGCAAGCACAGGGAGCAAAAGGAGCGTAAGAGGGTATGCTGCAGCCCTTGTGGGCTTACTGCCCACTGTACATGTTATGTGGTTCCCCAGAGCCTTGTTTGGACTCTGCAGCATTCAGGCTTTGGCAGCAGTGATAGTAAGGGGTTCATATTTTTGTGACCTGGGACATCCTGGCAGCCCAGCTTACTGCACTGCCTCATACCACACTGCTGTGGTGTGATTTTCTTGTGCGCTGCCTTGGGACATGAATCACTGTGCCTTTGAACATTT